TCCACACTGCCTCCATTAGCAGAACTTTGTAATTCTTAAAATCAGATGGTATAAGTCCTGCAACTTTCTTTTTCTTGTTTACTTGGCTACTCTAGATCTTTCAAATTTCTACGTGAATTTTGGGATCAGCTTGTCACTTTCTAAGCAAAGTCCATTATGATTTTGACTGAGAGTTCACGGACTCCACAGAGTCAATGGGAGACTTGATATCTTAAGGATATCTTGATCCGTGAGCATGGTATATCACTTGACTTATTTTGGTCTTTCTTGATTTTTTTCCAAAGCATTGTTCTATTGTTTTCGTTGTTCAAGTATTCTGTATTTTTGGGGTCAACTTTATTCCTAAATATTTCACAGTATTCAATATTGCTATAAATGCATTTGAAAAATTCATTTCTATAAAATGAATAAATATATAAAATAAATAGTAATTGTACATAATTAATATGTGCAATTACTATTTATTTTATATTTTTCATTTCATTTCCTGGGACCTTGCTCAAATCAGTTAATAGTCTCAGTAGCATTTTTGTAAATTCTGAAGGACTTTTTTTTTTTTTTTCTTAAACAATGATTTTATTGCTTGAGTACAAGAACACAATTATGCAACCAGGGCAGAGGTTGTAGATGACTCAAGTTCCCAACTGAGTGGGAGGACTCACTTGGCCTCGTCCTGTGGAGTTAATTGGTGGATTCGACTCTCTATCAGAACCAGGCAGACGTTAGTATCTTTATCCTTTCTGTTTCTCTCAAGATGCTTCTAACTAGCAACTGCTCTCTTACTTGGGAGGTGGAGGTCCTCAGGGGCATGCCCTCTGGACTTGGGGAATCTCAAGCTCTTATGGCCCATCCCAAGTCACATTCATGCAATGCCCTGTGAGTCCTTCCAGATCACACTGCTTTGGGATGGACTCAGCCCTTCTTGCCCTGTTCATAAATCTGTTCCTTCATATCATCAGATGTCAGCTTTAGCCAGGAGGGGACACTGCCATGAGAGATCAGAGACAATCAGGACAGGGCCCTTTCCAGGAGCATGTGCGTGACTCAGGGTGACAGCAAAGACCCTGACCAGGCATCAAAGAGCTGATGGGATTTTTTCCATGGGCTCTTACATCGATGCCCATAGAGAAGATCCTGCTTCTTCCTTTCCAACCTGAGTGCCTTTTATTTATTTATCTAATTATGTTTTGTGCTTCATTTCTTCTCCTGCTTGCTTCACTAACTATAACTACCAGTGTCATGTTTTGAATGGAAGGATGGGGTGGACGACCTTAGCAATTCCTGGTCTTATGGGGGTAAGGATGGGATTTCATCATCATCAAGCACGATGTTAGCTATAGGTTTATTGTAGATGCCCCCTTCAAGCTGAAGAAGCTCCCTTCTCTCTCAGTTCGCTGACAACTTTTTATCAGGAGTGAATGTTGAATTTCGTCCAATGGCGTTTGTTGCCGATTGGCTTCGCTGTGTTTTGTGTGTGTATTAGATATCATATTTTTTTTCTTCTTTAATTTAATAATATGGTGTATTACAATCACTGACTCTTTTTCTGCAGTCCTGGGAATTGAATCCAGGGGCATCTGAGCTACATCTTCAAACCTTTTCATTTTATTTTAAGACAGGGTTCTTAGTAAGTTGCCAAGGTTAGCCTCAAATTTGTGATCCTCCTGCCCCCAGCCTCCTCAGTATCTGGGATTACAAACGTGCACCAAAACATGCAGATTGACTGAATTTTTAACATAAAAATCAACTTTTCATTTCTGGGATAAGTCCAACTTGATCATGATATAGTAGCATTTTTGTATTTGTCAACAATTTGTGGAGAACTTCTGCATCTATGTTCATGGGAGAAATTAGTCTGTAGTTTTCTTGTGATATCTATCTGACTTTGGTTATCACAGTGACAATGACTAGGAATTTGTGTATAATTGATTTTATGGGCTAAATTGTATCCCATCAAAACTCCTGTGTTGAGACTCTTATGCCCAGTACCATAGAAGGTGGCTGCATCTGGAGACAGGACCTTTGAAGAGGCAAAATGAGGAAAAGACCATGGGGAGACCCACTAAGAAGGCAGCCATCTGCAAACTGAGGACAGAGGTCTCAGAATGAGATCAGTCCTTCCTGCACCTTGATCTTGGGACTCCAGAACAGCCTGCAGTTCCTTGGCTATGGCAGCCCAGCAAACCAATTCAATTGGTATTATTTCTTCCTTCCGTATTTGGTCAAATTCACCAGTGAAACCACCTGGATCTGGAGTTTGTTGGTGGGAATTTAAAATACAGGTTCAGTTTCTGTTCTAGCTCTGTGCTATTTCCAGTTGAATGAGTTTGTGTCTTTCAGGGACATTGACCATTTTCGTTCGTTGTTGAATATTTCTTTCTATTCACACTAAAATAACAACCCAAAATAAAAGCCCAAAGTCAATCTGCTGTCTAGAGAGGACGGTGACGAATGTTTGACATTTATCCCTCCAGATGGATTTTACATATGTGCAACCAATCCCTTCCCGTTTCTTGTTCTTTGGTGGGGGGTGGGGGTGGGGATGGGGATTGAACTCAAGGGCACTCAGCCACATGCCCACCCCCTAGTTTTATACTTTATCTAGAGACAGGGTCTCACTGAGTTGCTTAGCACCTCACTTTCGCTGAGGCTGGCTTTGAACTCACAATCCCCCTGCCTCGGCCTCCAGGGCTGTTGGGATTACAAGCACGTGCTACCTCGCCCAGCAATCCTTCCCTTTTCTAAAGAGAAAAATTGACATTGCCCTGTGTATACCGGTATGGGTTTTTTTTTTTTAATCATCCAATATTTTTTTAAAAAACATGATTATGGATGAATCGGTAATAATTTGCTTACCTAATCCCCTCTCTTAGCTTGTTTCTGATTTTTGGAGGGGATGCTTCTGAAAGCACCTCAGTCAGCGTCCTTTTTCATCTGTCTCTGGGAACAATTCAGGTTTGTATCTTAGTTTGCAATCCCAGAAGTGGAATTTCTGGGTGGACCAGTTTATTATTTCACTATTGAGCACAACGTGCTGCTTGGTGGGGGGAGGGTGGGGAGCCCATCCTTCCCCTGGAGGACTGGGCCTCTCTGAGGACCAGCCCGTCCAGCACCTCTGGAGGGAATCCCACATGATGAAGGTGGCGGTGCTGTGCACAGGCTCTCGGGGGTCCCTGGATTTGAGATTGGCCTCCTTAACACAGATCTCGATGGCTCCCAGTGACATGCAGGTTGGAGGCTGGACCTTGGTGTGGGGACTGTACCCGGGCTTCCTTCCTGATTCTTCCTTCTTCAGAGCAAGACCATCTCATTAAGAGGTGTGCGCAAACACAGAAGCTCAGCTTTGGGCAGACAGAGGAGCAATGGCAGAGACCAGCCCTGCCACTCCCAGCCCTGGGGCCAGGGGAACCTCTGAGCGTTCGGAGGAAATAGGGGCCCCTGTGTTCTCCAGGATCCTGGTCTAAGGGAAGTGTGCAGATCCACAAACCCAAACATCCACGTGTATCTGCAAAGGAACGCGCCCGCAGGTGCAAATTAACAGCTTCCCGTGTGATGCTGATTGGAAGGGGGTGGGGAGGGTTCGTCCAGGAGAACTTCCTGGGGAAGGAGAGGGTCCTGCATCACAGAGGCATTCGGGTGGAGGAAAGGCAGGAGCTGGGTGAGGGGGAATGAGTGACACCTGAGGTGAGTTAATTGGATCAGGACAGTTGGCAAAGCTGGAGGTGGGAAAGGTCCCCTGTCAGCAGTCTGAGAACCTGCCCAGCGCCCCACAGCACAGGACACCTGGCGTGCCAGGGCCATTCTTACTCACGATGGCTTGTCACGCAGTGGGGGATTCCTGCCAAGGTCACAGACAGGAAGTGGGGTGCTGGGGTTGGAGCCCCATCAGTGTGACTGTGCAGTCTGAATGGGGGCCCCCTGGAGCCCCGGCCTCTCCCCTCTTCTCTCCTGCCCCTCCCTCCCATGCACACCACACTCCAAACAAGGAGCAATTGGTGATGACCCTGGGCCTACCAAACCCTCAATCAGAGGCCCTGGAGCCCCCCAGGGCACATTTAGCAATGTTCAGAGACATTAGTTTTAGTTGTGACAACTTGGAGATCAGGGCAACTTCTGGAGGCCAGAGGGCTGCTCCACCTCCCAGGATGCGCTGGGTTGCCCCTCGGCAAGGCGGTCTCCACCCTCAGGGTCAGCTGTGCCCAGGTTGAGGGGCCCTGGTGCAGCCAAGCAAGCTCACCCCTCCGGATGTGAGCTGGGGGGACTTCCTGCCAGACGCATGTGCCTGGGCCCCTCCAGTCATAGCCCACTTCCAGAGCAGTGGAGCCCCCTTCTCAATGTGAAAGGGGAGTCCTCTGCAGATTCTGGATTAAGTGCACTCCAGATAAACAGGGTACAGACATGACGTGTGCGCGGGAGGCCTCCCTGACAAAAGTCTCTCCTGGTCACACTCCACTCAGGTCCCCTCTTCCCAGGCACCCTATCTTAGAGAGTCCTGCCCTGTCTGTTGGGCTGGAATCTCTCTAATCTGTACCTGAGCACCCTCCACACCTGGTGAGTTCCTCAGCTTCCACCATCACCTGGTGATGTCTGGTCGCCCAGCAAGAAGCCCATCAGGTCATTTTCCAGAACCTTCTGACCCCGGTATTTCCTTTTGGTAATTTTCCACCCACCCATTCATTGGCTAGAAACCCTCACTTTTCCCTTGAAGCTCGCTGCAAAACCCTGGGGCAGTGGTCCCTCCACCTGTCACGATGGCTGCCCTTGAACAAAGTGCACCTTTGACAAATGTCATGGAAGACTTTCGCGTCTTCCCATGGGGATAGGGAGGCCTCGGGACTCATTTCCTTTCGGATCCCTGGGGAGGGGCCAACTCTTGGTCAGGTGCAGGAACCCCCCAGAGGGGCAGGCCAGACAGAGATCGCTGGAGGTGGGACTTCACCAGGCAGCGCGGGGCAGGGCTGTGGCAGGAGGAGGAGGAGGTGGAGCCTCTGTTTTCTGGGGCACCTGCCACTTGCCCGGGGCATCGCCCTGGCTCTACCCTGCCAGTGTGCGAGGAGCGTGAAGCTGGGGCCTGTTCCCTGGAATTTGAGGAATGCATCAGGGACCTCTCAATACTTATGCTGCTGGTCCCCCAGAACCCAGAGCATGGCAGATGGGGTGCAGGCCAGCCCCGGAGGGTTCAGGAAGAAGATGCTGGTTAGATGCTGCTCTGTGTGGAGGGGTCCAAGCTGCAAGGCCTCTGCCCCTTCCAGAACCTTCAGGTAGGTGCTTCCTGCCCTGGCATGGAACTCTCCACGGAGGGGTGCTGGGATGGGTGAGGGATGGCTCCTAGAATCCACTTCTCCCCAAACGGGAGCTCTGAGCTTTTGAGTGCAGAGCTGAGCTCCGTCCCTGTAGTTTCAGCACTAGAAGGGCCTTTGGGACCACTTGGCCACCCCTCACAGGGCTCTTGAGGCCCAGAGAAGCCAAGGGATCAGCCTGTGGTCAGGGCTGGAACCATCCAGGGACCACCATGTCTGCTGGCTGTGGGTCACTGACTCTGGGTCCCAGGCCTCTCTGGAGTGTGGAAGGCGGGGGTGGCTCTGGTCTGAGGCTGTGGCTTCCTGCTTTGGAAGCGGAGGCGTGGAGGGAAGTTGCTTCCGGTGCATCCTGGCTCTGCCACCCTGGGTGTGCTCCTCCAGGAGGCACAGGGCGGGTGTGGGATGCTGTCACAGGGCTGGGGCGGCAGTAACTGGGGCATCGAGGGCCGGCATGGGTGGCTCCGGGGCTGAGGCCCAGAACTGCGGGAAGGTGGGGAGATGAACCGAGGCTCAGGGTGTCCTCTCTCTCAGGTCCAGCCTGGGCGTGAAGCTCCTCGTCATCGCCGTCCTGGCCGGTGGTGGTGAGCACAGGCCCTGGGAGACCCCTCCCTGATGGCTCCCCGTCTTTCTCCTGTGACCCTGGGCACCTATTGTCCCACCAGCCTGAGTCACCTTCCTCTCTCTGGGCTTCCGGTCAGGCTTCCCCCTCTCCCCTGGGGCTGTTTACTCCTTGGGCATCCTACACACGCCAGGCCCTTCAGCATTTATGAGCCACAGGGAGGCAGGCACAGGGCTGAGCCAGGTCGTAAAACACACTGGGCCATCTGTACCTCTGCGTGCGTAGGAGTGAGTGTGCCGCCAGACGCACGTCTGTCTGTGTGTGGGGGGGGGGGTTCTGAGCACAGGGGCGTGTCTCTGTGTGCCACACATGACAGAGTGTGTCCCGGCTGGCACCTGAGCCTCTTGGGTCTCGAGGGTGGGTTCCCTGTGGTGTGTCCCCAGAGTCTGCACCTGGCGGGTGGGGGTTCTCTCGCAGGCTGGTACTCCAGGCACCACAGACTGGGGGCAGCCACCCTGCAGGATTGTCATAGGCAAATCAGACCCCGTCACACATACAGGCATCCCCGTGGCAGGTGCCCCGGATGCATGGGAGGTCAGCAGAACCTCTTGCTGGCTTTTCACACCCCTGGACACAGCCTGGTTTGAGGAAAAGAAAGAAATTCCAGAAACAAAGATGAGGTTCAAGGTGGCCAGACATGAGGAAGGACTGGCGGCTCATGGGAAAACGGCCTGTCATTAGAAAACTCCCACTCGCGCTCAGCCACACCACCGGGGATTGGCTGGTCGTGGCTTCGTGTGTGTGAGCCCAGTCGGGATGCGTTAGAGTGTGGTTGTGTGCAGGTGTGTGCGGGTGAGGTGCCGGTAGCAGGCATGTGTGTGTGCACAAGTGTCAGTGTAAGAGGTGTAAGCTGAGTGGGTGAGGCGCCTGGATGTGTATTTGTGAGTGTGTAAGCAGAGTGTGTGAGGGAGAGGCTGCGTGAGGGAGTCCACCCTGTGTGTGACCGGTAATGCCTCACTCCTCTCTCGCCCTGTGTGGCGGGTGGTCGGGGCCTGGAGCCTGGTGCTAACCCCCAGGGAATATCTGGGCAGCAGGTGGGGACAGGGGCAGCCAGGTCCTTTCTTGAAGCACTTCCTGGGCCAGGTGCTCTGTACACATATTCAAGGTGGCACCTGAACCTCCAAGGGAGGTATCATTGTCCCCAGTTCTCAGATTTGGGAAGGGAGGTTCAAGGAGGTTGTGAGTTGTCTCGGGGGGTGGGAGCAGGACTGATGGAGAAACCCGAGCCGGCCTGGTGGCTCTCAGCCGCTTTGCACACACTTATCCTGCAAGGCTCAGCAGAGATGGGGAGGGGGCAGGGAGAGGCCAGAACCAGCCCCCACCACCACCACCACACACCTCATCTCTC